TTAAATCGACACCCTTTCATCTCCCATAAAGAGCCATTGAGAGACTGGCTGATTTCACGAAGGGAATTGTCCGGAGGAAAGAGCTGACCGGCACGAATTTGCTGGATTTAAATTCATTAAACCCTGGGGCTGGTTTCACGTTCACAACACGGTGTCAGTTTACTTCAACTGCACGGCCTACCGCCCTCGGTAATGGGTATTATACCGTTACGATTCGTACGTTTCTCGCGCAAGTGAATTCCCGTCGAATCGAAAACTATAATTCCTTTTGAAATTTTTCATACGATCGTTTCATCAATAAATATCGACCATCGACGTTTCCAACAATCGTCGTTTCATTTATTCATGGCAAATTTATTTCTGCGTTTATTCGCGATCAAAATCCGAATGTAACATGATACTATAAATTATGTATACGTAATCAATATTTATTTTCACAGTTTTATGCAGAACAATCGTGTACGATTTTAATATCCGTTCCGCGAATAGCCAGGTAAATGTTTGGAATGGAAGCGTAATCGACACAGCGCGGCTCGATATAAACCGTATGAAGCAAGTTCTTGTTTTACAACCTTAAAATTGCGCCCGAGTACCGATCGAGCGAATTTTTTCCGACGGTACCTCGTACGTCGGATCGGATTGCTATCCGAAAAGAGGGATTACGCAATCGAGGAAATCGCGGGGGAGCTACGGGCATTGTTGTTCCGCCGTTTTCGATCAGCCCGGCCGGGCCGCTGCCAATTAAATCTGCCGACCGGATTGTAACGCGATAGAGAAATTGAATTTTCGACGAAACCAATAAAAGCGTCGCCGCCCTCGCTAATCGGCTCCGAGCGTACGCTTCCGGCCAGGCGACCAGCTAAAGAGTGATTTGACCCCGATTCAAGCGCGATTAACGATACCTGCCCCTCGCGTGATATCACGATGACAGCCGGACGGGTTAACAGCTCGGATTAATCGCGTAGAAAGTCGATTTCCACCATTCGCTCCTCGCGTTTCAACGCCCCACAAAGACAAAGCAAATTCGTTTCGATAGATTCATTATCAACAGTAGTTTTCACGTTCACAGACTTATGGTTACGATCCTAAGTTGCCAAAAATTAATTACTATTTTCGAAATGCGTTTTATGGTTGAATTTTTAATACCAGACATCGAATATTATATTGAAATCTTCAATACATTAATTTTATGTAAAAGTAGTACAGATTTAATTCTGTTCAGACGCCGGGGAGACTGTAGATAAAAATGGACAGTCTAATGGAAAACATAAAACGAGCCCCAGTAGGAATATCGAAGTTACGCTCGGTAGGAAATTAGGGTGAATTTTTAACGACCACCGAGGCCCATA